ATGGCAAGGTGTGTCTAATTGTTGTGGGGGCACTGGAAAGGATCTAACTAAAGATTGTTGACAGCGTGATCGTCTAAAGACTTTGGCAGCTTGGGTCGTCGATCTATTACTCGGACTTCCCTGATTATTCTCAAAGGTTTGGTCTCTAGGCAAACAAAACAGAACAAAATTGAACAAACAAACCAACAAATCAAAACACAGAGAGAGATAGCGGAGAGAGCAGGTTTAAGCCATTCACTGCTGTTAGGGCTAATTACCTTAAAGATTGAGGAGAAACCTGATTTTGGAGTTTCGCTAGCTGGATGGGTCAGTATTCTATGGGCTAGGCTTAGTGATGGATTGAGGTGATCCAGTCGGGATCCCGTGGCAGCTCACTGTGATCCGCCGTGGAGGCAACCGCCGCTTCACCAACTAAACACTAGAGGGAGTGCTACCTATAGGTAAACACAAATGGCTAGAACACACAAATTAACTTTAAATTTAAATTCAAACACTGTTTAAGCTAAATGTAAATAAGTGAGTGGTAAAGTGAGAGAGAAGAGGGGGAGAGAAACCTGATCAAATAACAAAAAAGGAACAAAACAAAAATAAAATGATAAAAGTAATAAAAGATAATAAAGTAAAAAGAAAAATAATACTAAAATAAAGAACTAAAACAGGAGGTACCTAGAATGGTGTGAATGACAATAATGACTAAAGGAGCAGAAGGGAAATTAGAAGTAAAACAAATTGAAATACATGGACTTAGGGAGAGAGAAGTTGACCTAGCTGAGAATGCCCACAAGGGGGAGTGGGTGAGCCCACACAAGGTGAGATCAGGAGGGTAGAGGTGGAGTTCAAGAAATGTTATGGTGCTTTTCCACTGCGTGGTACGACTCGGCTCGGCACGGCACGGCTCGGCTCGGCTCGGTTTGCATTTCCACTGCAGTTTAGTATCACCTTAGAGTGAGCGAGATTATTCACGTCGTTACAGTCACGCTGCTTCTACTGCCGCGGCTCCTGAAACACCTTTTCATTCCGCGTCACCCCATCAAGCTCTCGCTGGATCCCCTCCTCTCCTATCAACGAGAGGAACGTCTGTACTTCCCCAACAGACAATGAAACAGCCACTTTTTGGTTGTTAAAAAAAGGTGCGCTCGTTCAAAACAGTTGCGTTCGATCCTTCTCTGGCTGTGCTGATTTAAATGTAGCGGTCCTGTTGTGTTTGTCGCGCAAGTTCAGTGACACAGGTAGTGACGATTCTCTCTGGCCAATCCGTGATCAGCAGAGTTTACACGTCATGTTTTGGTAACGGTACGGTTCACTTGGAACCTCAACCGAGGTGGTACTATAGATACTTAAACAGCCTGCCCTCTAGCGTTATTTTAAGGTACTGTGCCTTAACTCCAACTGTGCTTAAAACTGATCGCGTTTAGTGTGAGATTACTCTCATTCTAACGGACAATTTACTGCAGCTATCACAAGAACAATGTGACTTAGATCCCAACAGATTCTTACAGTTTGTGCAACTTAACTGCACAATGATGTGTTGCAGGATTTCTTCGCTGCCAGTACACAATAACAATTATAAGAAACAGGGTTTCTTCGCTGTTGTTATACAAATTTCACTTGATCAAGGTTTTAAAAGCTCCCATTTACATTCCAATCAGTTTCTGGTTCACAGTGTTCTTATGGTCAGATCTGCATTATAGGTGCACATTAGTTAGCTGCTACTAATGATTAACCCTAAGGGAGTGAGGTCATCTAGTTGAATTAAATTAACATGCAATGACTTCAATCTAGCGATACTCTCAGATAAGGCCTTTAAAAGATGATAAGAGGAACATCGCTCAAATCAATCTGTATCGCAATGTAGGAAGATTGCTTCGTTCCAACAGGCGATTTTGATAATATTAAAATGTACTGTAAAGAGATTTCTTCGTCTTTAGAGAACAATTTTAATATTATGAAGTGATTATGATTATGCAGTTTACTTTAACAATTAACAGTGACTAAATATTAGACAAATAGAGGCTGTTAAAATACAGTACGGGAGGTGGCTTTGAACCATCCAATCAAAAGAGTGAGTTGGTGTTGCTACTTGTCTCACTCTAAGCGCGCATAATATAAGAACACAAATAAATTGATATTGAGTTTGCTCACAAACAAAGTTTGAATGTTGCCACGTTCTCCACCAAATATGTAGCAAATTAGCTCAAAAGGGAAATATTTATAATTAATTATAACTGGTTATAATTAATAATAAATATTTAGATTAGATCTTATAATTAACTGTAGCAGAATCAATATTACAATTATTTTATCTGTCCGTCCACCGAGCAGAGAATATAATCCTTTATCAATTCAAGGAAAGATTATTTTCCTGGCCAAGGAACAATAGCTTTCCTACTTTATGCAGTACTAGCAGTAGTTTAGCATGTAGCAAGAATCAACATTCAGTGACTCCAAAGTGTGAGCAGCACACAGAGACAATCAATTGTAAATATAAGGGATTTAATAAATGAAACTATAGCTAACATACAACTAAATCAAGCAAAACACATATATACAGAATGAAAGAAAGTAAGGAAGAGAGAGAGAAAAGCAAAAGAATGGCAGTATTTCACATCAATTAACCACAACCTAATGAGAATCATCAAAGAATCAAAAATCACCTTA